ACCTGTAGGTATATATCTACAGTACAGAAATACGTAAGCACTATAAGATGGTAGACCTGTAGGTATATATCCACAGTACAGTAATACGTAAATGCATTGAGGTGGTAGATCTGTAGGGTTTTGGGGGTTAGGGTTATTAGGGGTTATGGTTTAGCTTGTGTTGCTAAGCAACACCTGCACCTTCCATGCGCACCTGAATTGGCGGTCGTCGTCTGTTAGGACTGCAAACGGGCTGTGGCCGTCTGTGATGCTGTTCTGCACAGCCACCACTTCCGCCCATCTCGCCGCCTCTTTGGATTCTTCAGGGTTTAAATGCAGGGTTTAGGGTTTAGGGTTTAGAGTTTCTGCTTCCATGCGATTGTTATGTGCCGTGTCTGATATTGGGAACGGTTTTGTGGCTACCAGAGTTTAGGGTTTATAGTTTCTATTTACACGCGATTGCTATGTGCTATGTCTGATGTTCGGGATGGGTGTGTGGATACCAGATTTGAGGGTTTAGGGTTTAGTGAGTGCAAAGCGTGTCACGGAGTGACATGTGAATGTGTTAACGAAAACACAAACAGATGGACACCGATACTCTCAGTAGACGAAGAACCATTCGGTGGCAGTGGCAGTACATTTCTAGGGTTTATGGTTCGCACTTAGTCACACTTAGCCCACCCATTGTCCCGCAAAGGTGTACGTACAAATCAATAAATGTAAAGCTTACAATGCAATACATGCCCAATATACAGAACCCAAAACTACGACCATAATATTAAACGTAAAAATCACAATGCTATATGTACAGAACTCATTACGTTACATTTTAAACCCTTATACATTACTTCTTGAGTGCAAAGCCGTGATGAGAAGTGACCCTATGAAGTACGTATTGACTATCAATACACACGCGCACAGACACACACAGAGAGAGACGCACAGACACAGACACAGACACAGAACCGTACACACATGAATTAGTTAAAGTGCTGTACTGCGTTAAGCCACTCACCGTCGTCCGTGTGATCGGTGATGTCTTGCAGAAACGCGAATTCTCTGAAGGAATTGACCGAAAAAGTCGTCTGCGCCGGAATGCGTTGCCATCGCTCGTTCTCAATCATCGCCTTCACATCCTGAGCACAAGCAGAGATGTAACACACACACAGGTGAGACGACAACCAAGCACACAACAGATATAATACAACAACAATCACATCCTAACACTCAAGCACACAATAGACATGATACAACAACAATCACATCCTAACACTCAAGCACACAACAGATATGATACAATAACAATCACATCCTAACACTCAAGCACACAAACAGATATAATACAATAACATTATGCACAGCATGAGATGGTGGGCATGTTATGCACTCCGCACACCACAGACTATCACTGTAAGATAGCCACCACGGGCTGACCAAAGGTTTTCAGAGGGTGAAAACCCCTATACTCTCAAACCCTACGGACTACAAAGTCAAAAACCGACACCCTAAAAACCATCACCACATGTACGTCACTATACAACAACCGACGCATGCATGTGAACACTCACACACACGCGTTCAATGGGCGTTCAAGCGGTTTGGTGTGGTTAGGGTTCAGGGTTTCAGGTTTAGTGTGGGTGTGGAGAAAAGTGTAATTAAAACAGGCGTATACGTAAGTCATATGTTACGCATGAGCTGTACCATACACCACTAACCCTAAAACCCTACTTGTGCGCGTGAGCTAACCCTACCACCATACCTCCAGGCGTGCCTTGTGGAAGTTCTTTAAGAACACACTGCTCTTGCGCGACAGAGCTGCGTACAGGTCCGCCCCACTGCCACCGCAAAACACTTGGCCCACCGCAATGCAGCGATGAGTCATGTGCAGCAACGTTATGAAGTCATCGAACTGGAAACTGGCCTGGCCAAATGACTGTGAGTCTGAGTTGAGATACGCACACACGCGCGACTGAACGGCGTACCATACAGTCAGCCGCCCCTGGGTCAGGATGTCCCGAACTTCGGCTTGTTGTGATATCCTGCGAGCGTGTTGAGAGCAAAGGGGTGGTGAAGTGGATGAGGTATTGGGGTTTTAGGGTTCTGGGTCTGTCATTGTTGTCTGTATTTCAGGGTTTTGGGTCTGTCACTGGTCTTGTGTGTGGTGGTGGTTGTGCAGGTAGCCGTGTGTTGTGACATGAGTGAGTGGGGCAGTACAAGGAGAGCTTAGGGTTTATGGTTCAAGGTTTAGGCATTACATGACTTTCTCAGTGACATGTTCGACATTTAGGATTTCAGGGTTTGAGACGGCTATTCGTCATATATGTATTAGAACTGCCGCCACATTCGTACTGAAGAATCACCACACAAGCTATATATATATATATATATATATATATATTATATATATATATATATATATATATATATATATAT